CATTGGGAGGATTAGTTAAGTGGTCGGTGGAACATCCATTATTTACCACGACCGAACATCAAATCATATGTGTTAGCCAAATTTGTGGTAGAATGTACAGTGCCTATCTCTGATGAACCACCCTCTTCTCTTTTACAATCACCTCAGTGGACACTATATGTAAGCGGAGCATCAGGAAACTCAAAAGCTAGTGCAGGAATACTACTCATCTAAAAAAAAAGACATTTTGGAGTACGGACTTCATTTAAAATTCCAAGCCACCAATAATGTTGCCGAATATGAAGCACTTGTCGCTTGATTAAAGCTTGCCATCAACTGTGAAATACGAAACATGATTATTTACACTGATTCTCAACTCATTGCATCTCAAGTGCCTCCCAAGTAGAAGGAGAATTCAATGCTCATAACACACAACTGGTTCAGTATCTCAGTCTGGTAAAAACACTTTTTCCCCAAATTGAAACATGCCAGCTCATTTGCATACTTCGGGAGCATAACACCCGAGCTGATGCCCTCTCTAAGCTTGCAACTTCAACAACTGGAGATCTTATAAAAGAAGGTATATTAAGGAGGTACATTTTCCTAGCATCCATGGCCCATGGGTGATACTGTCTATAAATGACCCAGGGGAGCCGTTTTGGATATTTTGGATAGATCACATCATCTCCTTCCTCCGAGACGGAACACTGTCAGATGATGTTATTACATCAATTTGCATTAGACGCAGGGCTTCCAACTTCATACTTATAGGGGATGAACTGTATAAGAAGGCATTTATAGGTCCATATCTCAAGTGTTTTTCTATATATGAAGCTGATTACGCTCTACGAGAAGTTCATTCTAGAATATGGGAGCTTCTTGGTGGCTGGGCACTTGCTCTTAAAATAATGAGGCAAGGCTGCTATTGGCCCACGATCAAACAAGATGCATTAGAGTTTGTGCAAAAATGTAAAAATTGCCAACTACACTCCAATCTCATGCATGCACCGCTAGTAGAACTCACATCTTTTCTGAGTCCTTGACCTTTCACCCAATTGAGGGTAGATATCATGATGTTATTTCCGATAGCTACTGGACAACAGAAATTAATCATTTTAGTTGTCAACTACTTCACCAAATGGGTAGAAGCAGAGCCTCTTTTCAAGATCACTGAGGCCAATGCCAAACAGTTTGTCTGGAAAAACATCATCTGTCGCTTTGGGCTTCCTGCAAAGATTATCACTGATAATAGGACTCAACTCACTGGTAGGGTCTTCACATCATTCTGTAAGAATCTTCACATTCAGTTGGTGCACACTGCTGTGGTGCGTCCCCAAACGAATGGATAGACAGAGGTAACAAATCGAACTGTGCTCAAGGGGTTAAAGACTCGTCTCGAGAAGGTTGGGGGGCAGTGGGTAGAAGAGCTGCATAATGTCCTCTGGGCCTATCTCACCACCGCACGAACTCCTACCAGGAAACCTCATATAACTTGTGTTTTAGCACCGAGACTGGCATCCCCGTTGATATCGGAGTTCCAAACCCCCGAGTCAAGACTTTCGACTCAGATAACAATGAAGAAAAGCTCCGACAATAGTTGGATCTTCTCCCAGAATTATGCAATGTGGCCCACCTCAGAGCTGCTTCCTACCGCTAAAGAATTTTTCGCCACTTCAACCAATGAGTAAAGCCTCGACCTATCTTCATTGGTGACCTGGTTTTGTGTAGTATCGAAACTGCTGGTCATGGTCCCCAACGCAACAAATTATCCACTCTCTGGGAAGGCCCATACATCGTGGTTGTCATGATCAAGCCTGAAACCTTCAAGTTCAAAGACTCAGATGGAAAAATCTTGCCCCGATCTAATGCCGAGAATCTTTGGAAATACCAGTAGCACTTCAGTTATATCATCTATGCCATATTACATACAATCTCAATGTATCTCAAACTTATTAAATAGTATTTACTTGTTTTCTTCTACAAAGAAAAGAATATGTTTATAAAGTGTAACGATTCATTCACTCATTCTAACGATTCATTCACGAGTCACTTTATGCTCTTGGCCCAAGAAATACACAACACTGGTTGTATCTTAGTCAGAGCACGACCGATCTCAGGGGGATTTGATCTAACATCTTCCAAATGGGTTAAAATCGCAGAGTTTTTACTTTGATAAATAATCCTGGATATGTTAACAGTCTTTGGTGGGCTACACCTGATCCCTTCCACACGAGTTCATAAGTGAACAACCTCTCAGCAAACAACCTCAGATGGGTTGATAAGTCCTCGGTGGACTTTTGTGGGATCCTCCCATACATCTTAAATATCATTGAGTAATACTCTGATGCATAACCTCAGCCAAGTAAAAGGCCGCTGGCAATTTATTTCCACTGTAACATTCTTACATGACATTGGACATCCAACGCATCAAGCCACTGCGATACTTCATCCAGAGCGCTGCTTGGACACACTGTCACAACACGTCGTTGCGCTGCAACATGTCACCCCGATGCACCATCACAATGCGTCGCCACACCGCAAGTCACCACGACGCATCACCCTAACGCGTCGTCACACTGAGACGTATTGTCACTACTCATCGCCGCAGCGCAACACGTCATCCCCATATCACAACACGTCGCCGCAACACCTCTCTTTGGCGCAACACATCGCTACAATGTGTCTCCTCATCGCAGCACGTCACCGCAACACGTTGCCCCACCGTGTCACAAGCTC